AAAAAAAAAAAAAAAAAAAAAAAAAAAAAAAAAAAAAAAAAAAAAAGAAGAAAAATCACGTATATGATCATACACAAATATTAGATAGCACAAGTAGAAAATATCAATTATTTGTTCTTTATAAGAGTGTGAAAACCTCTCCCTAATATACGCATTTTAAAAATCGTGAGGCTAATGGTCATACGTCATGGGCCAAGGCGGATAATATTTGTTAGTTGTGGGTTTGGAATGTTACAAATGGTATTAGAGCCAGATACCGAGCGGTGTAGCAACAAGGACGTTGGGACCTTAAGGGGGGTGGATTTTGAGATCCCACGTCAGTTGGAGGGGGGAACGAAGCGTTCCTTATAAGAGTGTGGAAACCTCTCTATAACAACCGTTTTTTAAAAATCGTAAGGGTAACAGTGATACGTGACGGTCCAAAGCAGACAACATATGTTAGCTGTGGGCTTGGGATGTTACATGTATACCGGGCAAATAGATTTTTGGTATGATGATCTTGTTCGGACCAATGAAAGGGCTCCCCATTGTTGAGGTGAATTCTATGTTGTGAAATATATTCTCACCTCCCTAGTTGGTCAAGTTTCCAAAATTGTAGATATGGGACTCCAAAAAATATTCTCATTCATGAAAAACTTTTGGAACTATGAATTTTTTCGATCAACAAATTTATAAAGAGAGATTAAATATTTTGTAGGTCAGCCTTTTTATCAAATTCATTGTATAAGATACACCACATGAACGATTTAGATCACATTATTTGTAACCATTACTAAATAGATCATAGTTATCCAGATATGACATCCAATTTTATTCATATACCATTTAGATTATTATTTGAACCTAGCATATTGTTCCAGCTAATTACGCTTATAATCTTGAATTTTTTTTTTTTTTTTGTACAATAGATCATATTAAATTGAAAAGAAAAAAAATAATGATCAAAATGATTGACCTTAAATTTCTATCCCCTTTGAATTTTCCAATTCTAATTAAAGTAGAGGCAAAATAATTGTTATCATATAATGCTATTTAATTGTGTCATTGTGAATTATGTGATCGATAATATTTTAAATTATTTCTAAATAATTGTTAGCATATTTGTAAATTATGAATTATGAATTATGCCATTCAAACGATTTTTAAATAAGGGTATTTTAATGACTCAAAAAATTTAATCAATACAATTTAAATTGTACCTATAATAGTTTAAGTCTACCGCTAACAGATGTTGTCTGCTTAAACAAATTATGTATAGTCGTCAGCCTCATGATTTTAATACACAGCTACTAGGGAGAGATTTTTACACTCTTACAAGAAATGTTTTGTTCCCCTCTCCAACTAATGTGAGATCTAATAATTCACCCGGTTGGGAACCTAACATCCTCACTGGCACACCGCTTAATATCTAGCTCTAATACCATTTATAACAGCTCAAGTCTACCGCTAACAGATATTATCCATTTTGGCCCGTTACGTATCGCTATCGACCTCACGGTGCAATCATGGAATGTGACAGTCATGCATTGAAAGGTTAATAAACTGTTAGAAATAATTAGGTGTCATATTATAAGTGCATTGTTGACATATGATATAGTTTTTATTTTGCACAACTTATTAATGGCGATGAATTTCTGAGAGAAGAACTGTTAGTGTTTTTTTTTTTTTTTTTCCTTTAAATAACACTTTCAGTTGTAAGTTTTATTCAAAAGTCGACAAGCATGATAATTAAAGTATTTTAGTACAAAGTGTATTTTTAAGAATATTTCATTCTATTTTGGTTATTCGTTTTAGTATGCTTCAATTGAAGGTCAAAATTTACCAAAATTTATGTAGAGTTATTCTAAGTGACAATCTAACCTATTAGTAGGGTGAAATAATTAAAAACATTATTTGATTTAAGTCATAATGACATAAGTGGACAGAAATGTGAAGCCCTCTCTATAAATAAGTCCAAGAAAAGTCCAAGAAAAGACATGTTTGGCATTGTCTTTATCTTTTTGGGCTTAAATCAAAACACCATGGGTCGCTTTGGAAAGCTTGAAACCGATGTACATATCAGAGCTCCAGCTTCAAAGTTGCATGAAATATATCACGAAAGAACTCACCATATCTCCAATGTCTCTACCGACAAAGTGCACGGTGTCGACCTACTCAAAGGCGAATGGGGTGAAGTTGGCTCCATCATCTGCTGGAGATATTTTCAGGGTTTATCAATTTTTAAACTTTTTTTTGACCTTTTTCTTTGAAGGATTCATTTAGAATGCCTTTTCAAATTCTCGTAATGACAACATTTTTACATGAAAACTTGCAGATGGGAAGGCTAGGATAGCAAAGGAGAAAATCGAAGCAGTCGACAAAGAGAACAATTTGATCACTTTCACCGTGATCGAGGGAGACCTTATGGAGAAATACAAGAGTTTCAAATTTAAGATGCAATTCATTCCAAAGGAGAAGGGAAGTGTGATTCATTGGGTTTTAGAATATGAAAAGCTGCATGATGACATTCCTGATTCACATACTATGCTTCAACTTTGTGTTGATGTCGCTAAAGACATTGATGCTCACCTTATGGAAGGCAGTGAAGAGCCCTAGCCATATTGCTGCACTCAGTTATGGGGTTCCTTGCGTATAAATAATTTGGCTTTTACTATGCTAATTTGCCAATTATCTATGTATGATTCCATTTACATAAGGCATATGTATGTGTGTTATGTTTGGGTCCTGTTCTATGTGTTGTACTAAGTGGAAGTTTCTATATACTTGTGTGTTCTATAAAATTATCTTGGGTAAATGCCATTTATGGCCTCCAAATTTATAGCTAGACCCTATCTATATGCCTCATGTCACTTCAACAACTCTCGTCAACTATTAAGATTCAATACTATAAATACCGGGTAAGTGACCCAAATAACAGAGTTGAGGAATGCAAACACGTTCAAATATGAATCAAGGGTTCATTCTTAGTGAGACCTAAAATTATAGTTTTGGATTTAGATTTCAGTTCTCTTAAGCTTAAAATGTATATCAGCTTGTACATATAGTTTTATATTCTCCATTTTTGTACCATCGAACTCACTAAATTCATACCAAATTTCGTAATTCCTAATTCTCGTTGGGTAAATACTACTTTTGTATGTTAGTAATATATTTTTGTACACATAACTGGTAAGAAACTCGTCAGAGTTATAAAAAGAAGAAAAATCATGAAGGTTACAGTATGGTGTTTTTACTTTTAATATTTATTTATTTTATTTAATATTTGGTTATGTCATTTTAAAAATGTTTTCGAACACGTAAGTCTATGGCAATATTTTATAATAAAGTTTCAAATGATTATTTCCGCCCAAAATGATTATGTCATGTATACAATAACGACTTTAGGTTAAGTAGAAATCTAGGGTCGTTACATTACCTATAATACAATATACTAAATGAAAATAAGAGTTCATTGTTCAGGTGAATTCTATGTCGTGAAATATGTTCTCAACTCTTTCTGTGGTCAAGGTTTCAAAATTGCAAATATATGAATCGAGTGCAAAAAAATCTTCTCATTTATGCAAATCAAATAACAAACTCTCACACGCAAGAGTTTGTAACTATTAATTTTTTCAATTAACAAATTAACCAGTGAGATTAAATATTTTGTAGTTCAACCTTTTTACAAATTCATTATATAAGATATTCACATGAACGATTTAGATCAAATCATTTATAACAATTACAAAATATGTCATATTAATATTGTTACCAAGATAAAACATCCAATCTTATTCATATACTATACCATTTAGATCATTACTTGAACATGGATTTCCTGTATATCAACCACATCTTGTTCAAGTTGATTACGCAACTAATCTTGAATTTTTCTTACAATGAATCATATTAAATTGAAAAGAAAAAAAAATCAAAATGATTGTGACCTTTTAACTTTATATCACCTTTCAATTTTCCAATTCTAATTAGAGTGGGGGGCAAAATAATTGTTATCATATAATACTATTTAATTGTGTCATTGTGAATTACGTGATCGATAATATTTTAAATTATTTCTAAATAATTCTTATTTGTAAATTATGAATCACGTGATTCAAACTATTTTTAAATAAGGGTATTTTGAGCCTAAGCCTACCGCTATTGTCTGTTTAAGTTTATTATGTATCATCGTCACCCTCATAATTTTACTATGTTCTTACAAGAAATGCTTTGTTCCCTTCTCTAACCGATATGAGAATCTAACAATCCACTCCCTTAGAAACCTAACATCCTCACTGGCACACTGTCTAATGTCTAGCTCTAATACCATTTATAACAGCTCAAGTATACCGCTAACAGATATTATCCGTTTTGGCTTATTACGTATCGCTATCGACCTCACAGTGCAATTATGGGATGAGACAGTCATGCATTGAAAGGTTAATAAACTGTTAGAGATAATTACGTGTCATATTATAAGTGCATTGTTGTTGACATATGATATAGTTTTTTTTTTTTTCACAACTTATTAATGGTGAAGAATTTATGAGAGAAGAATTGTTAGTGTTTTTTTTTTTCTTTTCTTTAAATAACGTGATTGAAGTATTTTAGTACAAAGTGTAGTAGGAAGTGTATTTTAAAAGTATTTCATTCTACTTCCGTATGCTTCAATGGAAGGTCAAAACTTACCAGATTTTATATAGAGTTTTTGTAAGTGGCAATCTAACCTACTGGTAAGTTGAAATAATTAAAAGCATTATTTGATTTAATTCACAGTGACATAAGTGGCCAGAAATGTAAAGCCCTCCCTATAAATGAGTTCAAGAAAAGACATGTTTGGTATTGCCTTTATCTTTCTTGGCTTAAATCAAAACACCATGGGTTGTTTTGGAAAGCTTGAAATTGATGTACATATCAAGGCTTCAGCTTCAAAGTTCCATGAAATATGTCACAAAAGAACCCACCATATCTCCAATGTCTCTACGGACAAAGTACATGGAGTCGACCTACTCGAAGGCGAATGGGGCGAAGTTGGCTCCATCATCTGCTGGAGATATTTTCACGGTTTATCATTTTTTAAACTTTTTCAACCTTATCTGTTTAAGGGTTTGTTTAGAATGACTTTTCAAATGCTCGTAATAACAACATTTTTATACGTAAACTTGCAGAAGGGAAAGCTAGAGTAGCAAAGGAGAGAATCGAAGCAGTCGACAAAGAGAACAATTCGATCACTTTCGCCGTGATCGAGGGAGACCTTATGGAGAAATACAAGAGTTTTAAGTTAAGTATCCAATGCATTCCAAAGGAGAAGGGAAGTGTGATTCATTGGGTTTTAGAATATGAAAAGGTACATGATGAGATCCCTGATTCACATACTATGCTTCAGTTTTGTATTGATATGTCTAAAGATATTGATGCTCACCTTATGGAAGGCAGCGAAGAACCCTAGCAATATTGCTGCACCAAGTTCTATGGTACTAAACGTATAAATAATTTGCCAATTATCTATGTATGATTTCATTTAAATAAGGCATATGTATGTGTGTTATGTTTGGGTCCTGTTCTATGTGTTGTAATAAGTGGGAGAAATATATTCCAAGTTTCTAAATATTTTTGTACATTAGTTGTATATTATGATACACACTAACTCCATACTAAAGACTTTAATGTCTTAAGGACAGCAAAAGTGTCAAAAAAAAAAATCACATATATGATCATACACATATTAAATATCACAAATATCAATTTTAATACGTGATACATCTAAAGATGTCTTGTGAGATTCTACGTCGGTTGGAGAGGGAAACAAAACGCTTCTTATAAGGGCATAGAAACCTCTCTCTACTAAACGCATTTTAAAAATCGTGAGGGTAACGGCAAGACGTAACGGGCCAAAGCGAACAATATATGTTAGCTGTGGGGTGGAAATATTATAAATGGTATCATAGCCAGATACTGAGTGGTGTGTCAGCGAGGATGTTAGGATCCTATGAGGGTGGATTGTGAGATTCCACATCGGTTGGAGAATCCCAACTAAGGGGGTGGATTGTGAGATGGATTGTGAGATTCCACGTCGGTTGGAGAGGGGAACGAAGCATTCCTTATAAGAGTGTGGAAACCTCTCCATAACAGATGTTTTTTAAAAATTGTGAGGCTAACGATGATACGCAACGACCCAAAGCGGACAATATATGGCAGATAGATTTTTGGTATGATGATGTAATACCGGCTCGGTGACAGCAATAAAACAAATAAATAAACTAAAATAAAGGACGAAGCATGTGGCAGGTGCGACCGTACCCTGCCACCGCTGACGACCGCACGAAAGACAGCTCGAGTTGCCCATTTTCGAGGCCATTCAAGGGTAGAAGAACTCGTTGCAAGCCCACATCGGCTAGAGACTTTGCGCTTGAGACCCACAAGCTTCCACTGGTCGATTAGGAGAAAAGTTAGAGGATTCTTAATGCTGAGGCTTGCAGTTTGAGGTCAGTGGAAACAAAGGGCTCGAAAGGGGCGGAAGGAGGCTGAGAATCAGGAGAAAAAAAATCAGGAGAAGAAGGAAAAACCTGCGCGGCCCATCGCGCGCAGCTTGCAAGGCTCAATGTAAAATGACACCTCGGAACTTTGGATTTTAGCTATGCTCATAGTATACAGGAAAGTAGGATATGAGAAGTATGTCTTAGAAATTTGAGCCCGAAATGAATTGGTGTGGGATATGCAAGGGCATGTTAAACATTTTGATGCATATTTATCGAGAAATGAACTCTTGAGTTATGATATGACTATGATTGATGGTATGCCTTTAATATGATGTAAGCATGTTATGGGAACTTGATTATACATGTTTGAGCGTAAAATGAGTTGAGATGACATGTGTTGAATGGAATTATGTATGTTACCGAAACGCGTACGAAGTATCTTATAAATTGAGGTTCATGACTAGGTATCTATGTTTAGATCGCTATGTTATGTCTCTATGTCACATGTTCATGATTTATGCAGCTATACGTGGACGGTAGGGGTTCGCCAACTAGCCCCTCATCGTAAACCTAACTCGACTGTCAAGGGTTCGGATAACCATATAACTGGCTTATGATTTATGATTGTACTCTGTGGTGACTACTGTGAAATTTGCTAGTTAGCTTCCTGTAGTGAGTTTGTCCGAGCAGCAGAGGTCCACAATTGTCCCTTTAGAGTTGGTCACGATTATTGTTCATGCATGTGATTTATGCGGTTATACGGGGACGGTAGGGGTTCGCCAACTAGCCCCTCATCGTAAGCCTGACTCGATTGTCAGGGTCCAAATAACCATAGAACTGGCACTAGATGTTTTATGATTTGTGCCCTGTGGGGACTATTAGGAAGTTTGCCGGTTAGCTTCCTTTTGGTGAACCTATCACGAGCGGTAAGGGTCCACAGTTCCACCTTAGAGTTGGTCAAGCCTTAACATGCATGAACCCTATGAGATCTAAACCGAGGTCGCGCCTCAAGGTCTTTGAGACATGATGACGATGATGAGAGACTAGTAGAAACGACTAACCAAGAGACCTAGAGAACCTAAGAATATTTCGAGGGCTGGAGGTCCAGATCGGACCATGAACCAAGAGAAAGTAGAATGAAAAATCTTAGGGTGTAGCCTAGGAAGAAGCCAATACCGGAGAACGAATCCCAATAGGAGAATAAGATACCGAACCTATGAACAAGATTAATAAGACTTGATAACGAAATATGAACTACCAGCAAGCTGCTTACTG